CATTTTATGCTAAAATTTATATTCCCCCATACATATACTTTACATCAGTGGAGTAGACATATGATTAAAGTAGCAGCTTTCAAAGATGGAAGGCAGCTGGATCAGTGAAATTCTCAACATAGTCATTCTCTACACCATTGTGCAATGTGGGAATGCTGTCAGGGAGAAAGAAGGCACCATATAAGAAACCTGAATAGGGGACAAGGAGGATGATATACCTGATGCAAAGGAATCTCTACAAAACCTATTGATGCTGGGAAGGCAATGAGAGAGAGAAGAAGTTCAATGCCACTATGGCTGTTCGAGACCCACCGCGGCCGGGGTGAGCTCCCGGCCCTAGTCCTAGCTCCCACCCACCCAGCGGTTCGAAAGCAGTAAAAATATAGCAAGTAGATAAATGGGAACCTGCCCTTAGGTGGCAGGGGGCACCCTCCTCCGTGTGAGGTGTGTGGGAGGAGCAATCGGCAGCGGCAGCAGCGGAGTGGTGAAATAGCGAAGCAACAGAGCGGCGGCGAGGTTGGCGAGGCGAGGCGATCCCTGGTGGCCAGTGAGTGGAACATCGAGTGCGAGACCTAACGACGGAGGCGGAGTCACGGAGGAATGCAGTGACATGGAGGCGCAGGCACGGCGGAGCCGGAAATGGATGTTGGCCGGGCTGTGGCTTACACAGGCCGCGCGCCAAAGAGAACAACAAGCTGGAGGACCTGCCCCTGCCCATGGACACCGGAGATGGGACACCGAGCCCAAAGACCGTCTGGAGGAAGAATGCTGGAGCCGGAGAACAACAGCCCTGCCACCTGGGTGCTGGTAGGCAGCCCCACCCCTGTATACTATGTGGCCTTAGATAGGGAATTGTATTTGAAACTGCCTGTAAACCGCTAAGAGACCCTTCGGGGTCAAAGTGGTAAATAAATCGAATGTATAAATAAAAAAATAAAAATAAATAAAAGAAGTTGATCTGGAAATGGTATGTAAGGCTGTAAGATTTGGAAAGAAGGCCAGTTCCACCACCTTGACTAGTAGGGGGGGGCACTGAATGAAAAGACAGGAAGGATGTCAGGATTTGGATAGCAGGTTCTGTTGAGGGCAAGGAAATAGTGGGGAAGGAAGAGGTCATGGAGCATAGCAACTTTTTATACATGAGGAAGTTGCAATTGCAGAGGAAACAGGAGAAGAAAAGGTGGGGCAGCTATTGGGGATGGGATGAATGGGAGGCTGTAATAATGCTTGAACCAATCATATAAAGGCTGAAAAGGGGCAGGGTGGTGGATAAATTGGAAAGAGGAATCAGGAAGAGAAATGGGATAGGAATAGGATGGACATATCACAAAGTTTAGTTCATCAGGTGAAGCAGCTGATTACACATGGGAACTAAAGAAGGAATGCCCTTAATAGCCACTCTGCCTGACCTGGCAACTGACTGATGAAGTCAGAGCAGTAGGAATCAAAACATAATTAATTGGGCAGCTGTTATGGGCAAGAGGTTTATAAAGTCAAAATAGCAGCCACACCCGTTAGTTCCAAGCAGAAGCCAGATTTTAGTGGAATCCAGGTGGGTGCAGAAAGCAGAGCATGTCCTGACTTGCAAAACAGTGGCCACACCCTTGAGATCAAAGCAACAACTTGCTTTTAGTGGGATGCAAGTGACACACCTAGGTAGAAATACCTTAATTCCTTGGTTGGCAAGGGCTAATAAAGCCAGAGCAGGAGGCACACCTAACATAGCAGTAAATTCTCAATGGGATCTAGGTGGATGCAGAAAGCAGAGCACATATAGCAACTGCTTCGCTCCTTGACTGGCAGAATACTCTCAATTTCCCAGTCAGTGTCGTGGGTTTGCCTCCCACTGAATTATTCTCAGATGCCACACCACACAGGGGAACAGGGCACCCCCAGGGGCAACATGAAGGGGGACCTGGAGGGCTGCCCTAAATGGGGGATTCCCCCCTTGCATATGCAGATCTTGACAAGCACATATAGCAACTGCTTCGCTCCTTGACTGGCAGAATACTCTCAATTTCCCAGTCAGTGTCGTGGGTTTGCCTCCCACTGAATTATTCTCAGATGCCACACCACACAGGGGAACAGGGCACCCCCAGGGGCAACATGAAGGGGGACCTGGAGGGCTGCCATAAATGGGGGATTCCCCCCCTTGCATATGCAGATCTTCTCAACATGACGCAATCCACAGGTTTTAGAAAGCACCATCTACAAAAGAGGCACCTTTGACTCCCTTTTTTCCTTCTTTCCTTTGCCTTTGTTGATCTGGAATTGAACCTAGTCTGCTATCTCTCCCTCTGACGTAACAGTGCAAGGCAGCATACATGTGCATACAAGAATTGATTCAGAGACAGCATGGATCATCCCCTTCATCTTTTTGGGCAGCCCCATTATCAATCATCAACACCGGCATGGCACCAGCACCACTAGTCAGCATCCTATAGCCATTCTGAAGAGAAGAAATTAGTAAATAAGTACCAGATCCAATTCAAGGTTATGATATTAACTTTTAAAGCCCTACGCAACCAGGGACCAATGTAGGGGAATTTTAGGGGTCCAGACCTAACCAGAGATCCCTAACCCTAACCAGAGATCCCCACACCATTAGGGTTCTTTTCTATGGGTGGGTGAAGTCTGGCCAAGGAACTCAGGCCTCCAAAGGGAGAGAAACACAGAGAGAACAGTTGCCATGAACCAGAAATATTTATTCTTCAAACCATACACAAGTAAATTCAATAGCATATATTCAGTACTAATACCCGTATAGCATATAGAAAATCCCAGTACCAATACCCATATAGCATATAGAAAATCCCAGTACTGGTCCAATTGCTTTGGGACATGGGAGTTTATGTGGGGAGAGGGTCCTGAAGCTACCCTGAACATTTGGAACCTCTCCCTCAAACACCCTTTCCCCCAGAGTCACTAACAGCACCGTGGGGGAAAAGTAACTTTCCCCCCACCATAGATCACAAGGGAGGGGATGGGTCAACCTGTTTGGGGGCCTGTAGAATTGGATCCCCTGGTCCAATATTCTTGAACCTTGGTGGATATCTTGGGGAGAGGCTCCAGCAGCTACCCTGTAAGTTTGGAGCCTCTCCCTCAAACCCCCTCCCCTCCAGCCCCCAGAATATACCCTATGTTTTAGCCATTGACTTCAATGGCCCATAGGATATAATAGGGCTGAAATTGACATTCAGCTGGCGAAAGACTCCCGTGTTACGCCAACTGCTTTATCTACAGCAGTGGCTAACTAAATTTAACGTGAATCCTGGCCAGCTATACCAAGGTCGTGTCTGAACCCAGAGTTCCAGTAATGGAGACCACACGGGTGTTTTTCCAAAACAAATAATCTTTTTACTAAGCAATATCAAAGTCACATACACACAAAATAATCAGTCTCATAATAGCATACGTTCAAGTTCCTTTAGAGTTACATAAAGATATTAAGATAGTTTCTTATTTACTTGGAGGTAGGTAGGTGTCTATTTCGGTTCATACTTGCCTGTTCTAGAAGTCTTGTCTGTTGCAAGGTAAAATTGGAGGGTAAGGAATAGTTCTAGGGGTAGTTACTAATTCACACTGCTAGAACCAGCCAGCTAGTGTGGGGATATCTTTGGCTGCGCATCCCAAAGAGATCCGGTAAAGACAAAGAGTTTTAAAGCAGGAAAGAGGGGGGGTAGTAGAATGTGGCCAGCCAATAGACTTGAAGCATGGTCCTTGCGTTGATAGTAGAATGTGGCTAGCCCAGGACCTAAAGCATGGTATTTGCGTTTTATAGTTGAATTTCCAGGTGGGTGGCACCTTGCCAAACTGCAATCCCACCTACTTACAAGTCCATCCCATGACCTCCCTCATTGGTGCATGTAGAAAAGGGGCAGGTATTCTATGGGTGGGGCGATATTTGAAACTCTACACTCTATCTCATGGAATACCATCTGGCCAGGTGTGAAGTCTAAGCTTCAGGACATCTCTTTGTTGTGCAGATAACTCTTGGCTTCACCAAGCATACAAGGCACCATCAACAAGAAACTGCAATTCAAATAAAGATCAGGTCCGTGTGAAACATAACATCTAGTCTCCTCAGCAATGGGGGAATTTCTCCTTCTTGGTTGTTTCCTCTGCTCACAATGGCTAACATGTGCTTCTTCTTCCCATGATGCTTTGAGCTGAATGTGTGCAAGCTACATTAACATAAAGTGCAGGCAAGTGTTGCCTATGTGGAGGCTCTCACAGTAGGTGATGCAAACAGCTTCCTTTGGCCCATGGTATACAGATATGTGTGCACAGTCCTTGTGTTGTGTGTGTAGCAGATATAAAACCATAAATTAGTCCATTTCTCAACACCCGAAACTGACATGCAGGAGTCTTACTGCTGGCCGAAATTGATTGTCGGATTTGGCCGAATCTGAATCAGCCGATTTTTTTTTTTTTTGCACACCCCTACTCACAATATGCCAATGCTTTTCATTAGCTTTTTAAAAATGGACATAGCTTAATAAGAATAGTCTAAAGAACATGTAGTACATCTATTCTCACAATGCAATTTGCTCTCAAACAATAACTTGGAGCCATTTAAACCCATGTTTTCTGCTCTCTGGGGAAAACCACAGGGAGCAGCAAGCAGTAGTGGTTTAAATGGCCTGGAGCCATTTAAAACCTTTCTAATCCCCACAAATGGTTCTGAGCCATTTAAACCTAACAGCTGAGTGATAGGGAGCTACCCTGCTTTTTGCTCTTCACAAACCATCAGGAGCCACCACAAATTGTGCCAAAATTCATGGTAGTTTTTCCCGGGTTCTTCAGTTCATGAACTTTGGCTCATAAACTTCAAACAGGCCAAAATTCATGACAAACTTTAGTTTGTCAGCCAGTTTGTACCTACCCCTAAAAAAACCTGGAATTGGCTGCTGCTTCCACCAGACTGAATGCTGACTCTAGTCTACCATGCATGTCTTCTGTACATAAATTTACAAAATATTCTATATTTTTCCCCTCAGTAAGTGAAACTGATTGCTATGTAACCTTGTGGCTGCCTACTGCCTCATCTGAAAAGGTTCGAACTAAAACAGTTGCCAACTCCAAAGATCCAGTGTGGAATGAAACATTCTACTTCAGGATCCAGAGTCAGGTTAAGGTAAGGTAAAATGTGGTTTTTAGCTGGGTTCTGCTAGATGAAGCCAAGAAACAAGCTTGAGGCCTTTACTAATGATTTCCTCTTTTTTGGTGAACACTTTGCCTTTCCCTATCACTCTGTGCTGTTTTTTCTGATGGGCAGTAACTGTTTCCAAGGGTTCACTGGAGAGATATTTCCCACCTCTGCTACTAGAGATCCTTTAAACTGTTTGTCAGAGAGGGAACCCAAGATCTTTGGCAAGCAAGCCAATTGCCTGCCAATATGTTTTTTTAATCTTGTCTTATCTGTTTTTATATGTTTTATATTTGGCACATGGTGCCCTAAACTGTGAGCCGCCCTGAGCCCGTTCGTGGGGAGGGCGGGATAGAAATATAATGAAATAAATAAATAAATTTACCACTGATAGTTTAACCCTTTTGCATATCATGGCAGTCAGATATCTTCCTCTGAGATGAAAAGTTGGGCAAAATGGCTTTTGATTCACTTACAACTATGTAATGGTATGCTTCTATAATGTGTTTATATTTCAGAATGTCTTGGAACTGGCTGTGTGTGATGAAGACATTATTCGAGATGATACGTACCGTGTCATCCATTTTGACATTGCTGAAGTGCCTCTTGGAGAGTCAGTTTTTAAGACATTTGAATTGAATCCACAGGTGATCATGTATAGTTAGCCATTGTGCTAACACATGTTAATGTTCATGCATCCTATTGTTGTTTTTCTATTAAAAAGAAGATCTTAATATTAAAGTGAGGGACTTGGACAGATCATTTCTACATAGATACTTGTTCCCATTGTAATGTCTGATTATCTACAGTGCAATCCTAAGTAGAGTTACACCCTTCAAAGCCCACTGATTTTTATAGAATTAGAAGGGTATAGCTATTCTTAGGATAGCACTGCTAGCCTAGGGTGGGGAATCTGATGGACTTGTTCTACTCTGCACATAGCAGCATAGTGCCAGAGATGAATTTTGCCACACAAAGCTGACCTCCCCTCCTCTAAAATAATGCTGGCACACTACTAAGCACTAAGGGCTTCCCAGTTATGGAGTATAATGGACTTGAGCCATAGCATTAAAAAGATGCATTGTTAGTATGTCAAATATCTCTCAATTTTTTTAAAAAAAACAATTTCCTTCCCTTTTAAATAAAACAATGTTTCTATTAAATATTTACTTAAAATGTTTATATACTGTTTCACCAATGTAATATTCACAAAGTGATTCAAAACAGTAATTAATACCATGTAAACAGGTTAAAGTTTACAATAAATCAAATTAAACCAGCAAGCATGATAATATAAAACGGCACAACAAACCATGAAAAGCAGATAGGTGATGGAGAAAAAGTCTAAAATTCAGATGTTTTTTTTAAAAGCCAAAAAACAAACAGAGTGGTAACTGGCTTATAGCCACCTTATATTGAAAAGTCCAAAAGTAGGGTTGGCAAATCCATCTTGGGAAACTCTTGGAGATTTGGGGGCAGTGATTTCAAAGGACAGAATTTGTGGAGGAGAGGGAGCTCAGCATAGTGATAATGTCATAGATTTTATTCTCCAAAGCATCCATTTCCTCCAGAGGAGCTGATTTCTGTAACCTGGAGATCAGTTGTAGTTCTTAGAGAAGTCGAGGATACAACTAGAGGTTGCTAACACTATTTAAAAGCCATAAATGCAGCAGTTTTTAAAAATTAAGAAAATATCAGTAATAAAATGCTTCACTATCAGTAGATAATGCAAAGGGTTTGGCCCAGTGTCTAATACTCAACAAACTGGCTGACAGGTGAACTTCCATGGGAAAGAGATGTAAGGTCTTGGCACCAAAACAGAAAGGACCCTGTTCTCTGACTGTATAGGCACACCTATCGGGGGGCAGGAACTGCAAGCAATTTTTTTTCACTCGTTGTAATTGAAATTTGACTCAAGACCAAATATAATTGCCTCAGGGACCACAGGGTTCCCAACTCCAATTTCGGAAATTCCTGGAGATTTGGTATTTCTTCAAAAAGTCCTGTGCTTTCAATATGGAATTTATTTTGTATCTCTGACCTTCAAATGAGAAAAAGAGGTCTTCTGGGATCCGACATCTATAAGAGATCTCATTGGCTTTCAATACTGATAAGAGGGAATCATATTCTTTCCTCTTTTGTCTCATCCACTATGGTACATCTTTCAAATTTTTAATCAGATTTCCTTTTATAGTCAGTTCTTTATCTCATTCTCCTCAACACAGCATCTTGGACTGCTCTTTAAGTGAACTTCACAGGAACCAATCTTGGTAATTTGTTCTTTCTAGCGTAGCTTGAATTTTCTCTGTAGATAAAATCTATCTTTCTTTGAAGATCATCAGTTTTAACCTCCATTTCTGGTGCAAGTGATTGTACTAATAAAAGGGTCAAATATTCTTCCTTATCCTCCGGGATATTCTGGAACCTCAGCATATACGCTGCTCTGTGCATTTCCAGCTTGTTCCTTCTGTCATCTGACAGCTGTTGTGTTTCTGCTAACTTTTTTGCTTTCTGTTGAATCTTTTCTGTTTTATTTCAGTTTTTTTATAGTCTTCACTAGTTTGGTGGTTTCTTGTTTGTTTTCCTTAAGTTGATTTTGAAAATCCTCCATTTTATCATTTATGTCCTTAATCTCAGTTGTTATCTGGGTTAGGCTGTTCTGTAATTGGCTCAACCCATCTAAAAAAGTTGCTTGCAAACTTGCTTGGAGCTCTTTTAAAGAGTCTTGTGATAGCATCACTCCCACTGATTTGGTTTTACCCAGAGAAGGGGTAGGGGAGGGAAAAGTGCCTTTTTCTTGTCTGGCTTGCTAGATTTGCTCATTTTCCTGTATTTATTCTACTATAATTTTATCTTAAGGAAAACAACTATTTTAGCATTTCATTTTACTTATCAATATTTTTAAAACTGTATAAAACCTATATAGCAATACTCTCCAATCCCAAATGTATCTACAAATCAAGTCTTCATTACCATATTCGTCCTACAGTCAAGCAATACAGTCCCCCTACTTTTAATTCCCAGTCAGATATCTAGCAAATAACCACTTTCAGTCTCACAGCAAACTTCCTCCAACTCACAGTCTTTAGATCCACAGAAAAAGGATGCTTCTTTACTCTGACATTACAGAGCTATTCCAAATACAAACAAAAATTTCTTCCACCCAGTCCTCTGGCCACGCCTCAGTATTAAAATGCCTGTGCTTCTCTTCACTCTGACATTACAGAGCTAATCCAAATATGGGCAAGCTTCACACAGTGTCAAAAGTAAAGCAATAGAGAGAACACCCACATCACTTCTGCCCCACAAATGATCCGTAATTCTCAAAGTGTGTCTCGAAATGGGACCACATCCAGCCTGTGCTGAAAGAGCTGCACTGGCTGCCTATAGCATTCCGGATTCGCTTCAAAGTGCTGGTGCTCACCTTTAAAGCACTACATGGCCAGGGTCTGGCATACCTGAGGGACCGCCTTTCCCCATACAGGCCCCAAAGAGCACTTCGGTCGGGGTCACAACACCGTTTAATGACCCCAGGCCCTAAAGAGGCCAGGCTTGCTGCCACAAGGGCCAGGTCATTTTTGGTGGCGGCTCCTATCTGGTGGAATGAGCTCCCAGAGGAGATCAGGGCCCTGCGGGACTTATTACAGTTCCGCAGGGCCTGTAAGACGGAGCTCTTCCGCCAGGCTTTCAAATAGGAGCTGCCACCGCCACCACACCACCACCAACGGGTGCCTGCAAAGCAGCACAGCTGGGCCAGGCTGATTGGCCATGTGACCATCGGGGCCATAGCATCCCCTCTTAGACTCAGTATGCTGTGCAACAGGGAGTGTGTACGTTTAGTCGCAATGGATCCTTGGGCATTGTCCATTGTATTTAACTGTTTTATAATGTTTTATCCATTTTTATCGCACTGTGTGCCTGACTGTGTAACCATGGTGTGTATCACACCTGTGTACTGTGAGCCGCCCTGAGCCCGCGTGCGGGGAGGGTGAGAGATAAATGCAATTAAATAAATAAATAAATAAAGTCAGACAAAACAAATTATATTGTAGTCCTCTTTAAGCAAAATGACTCTGAGTATTGAAACCACTTTATATATAATTAGTTCTCGCCTCTCTCTCTGGACTCTTTATCTTTAAACTTAATCCAGCAACTCTGGGGAGTATCTCACTTCTTCCCTTTTGCTTCTATATCAATTTAGTCCCCTTCAGGGAAGCTGTAATATTGGAGAGGGCTCTCACTCCAAGCCAAGTCACTTCCTAACCAGGAAGGCAGATGCTGTCCCTCCCTCTCCAATTAAAGTGAAAGCTGCTTTTTCAGAAGGGGAGGAATTTTCAATCTCTCACCCCCCCCCCTTCCTCCCAAAGTCTGGCAATTCTGATTTAGATTTTCAAGTAGATCTCTCAGTTCAGGTTTTCTTTAATCAGGAATCAAACTTACTCATTTGGAAAGTCCGGAGACAAAGTTCTTTAAAACAGCATTGTCTCAACTGCTCGCTCCTCTTTCTCTCAGGCATTCACAGCTAAGTGGTCAGATGGCTCCCTCAACGGTCTGCGCTACCGGGCTGATGATGAAAGCTCAATCCCCACAGCCGCTGCCTAGGGAGAGCTTCCATGTCACGTCCTCTGCTTTGGTGACCCTTCTCCTAGGATCTCCTTAGATCCTGGTTTCCCCCCGGGACCTGCAAACTGGGCAGTTCGACTCCTCTTCAGGAGCAGCACTCCAAGGAGAGACCAAAAGTGCTGTGCCAAAGCAGTGCCAAGGAGGACAGAGTTTGGGGTGGGGAGGGAGCTCAGTGGGGATGTGATGCTGCTCTAGGACTTCCATTTCTCTATGGTATACCATCAAGTCTGTCCTCCAAAGCTGCCATTTCCTCCGGGCCCCACACCTTGAAGTTCATAACACTATTTATATTAGGAAAAAACAACTTGTTAAACATGAAATTCTTTAGAAGCAACAAACATTTCAAAACAGTTGATATGATCTAGCAAAAATTATTAACTTTTAAATTGCATTTACTTTAGTCCTTTACAGTGCAATCCTATGAGGTGTTATATCCTAAGTCAATTGAAATCAGTGGATTTACATTGGTGTAACTCTTTTTTGGATTGCACTGTAACTTTTCTATTGATGTAAATGGGACTTAAAGGTACATAATTTTGACTGAATTGTGGCAAATATTTTAAGGCATTTCAATATTATAAAAGAAAAATCTATTTGCTACTTTAATGTCCATGAAAGATTTAAGAGATGCATTGTTGATATTCCATTTTCATTTAATCTTTACAAGTCAAGAGAGAGAAACCACTGCTGAGCCAGTGGAGTGAACCATTATAGAATCATTGTTTCATTTATGTTCCATCTTAATTTGCAGAAACATGAGGAACTGGAGATTGAATTTACACTGGAGAATATGTGAGTAATCCAGTTCTGTAGAGATTAATTCTTCTTATTATTTTGAGACTTAGAATAATTAAACCATAGAGTTGGAAGGGACCTCCAGGACTATCTAGTCGAACCCCCTGCACAATGCAGTAAATTCATATATATATATATATGAATTTACTCCCCACCCCCACCTCCCAGTGACTGCTGTTCCATGCCCAGAAGATGACAAAAAAACTCTCCAGGATCTCCACCCAAACTGGCCTGGAGAAAAACTGCTTCCTGACCCCAAAGTAGCAATCAGCCTTTCCCTGGGCATGTAAGAAAGGGCCACAAGAACTAAGCACTAATGCAGCCCTTCTTGCCCTCCCTCTCATGATCTGCCTAAGATCACGGAATCAGCATTGGGGACAGATGGCCATCTAGCCTCTGTTTGAAAATCTCCAAAGAAGGAGAGTGTGTAGTGTGGTGCAGTTGTTATCATGTTAGACTAGAATCTGGATAACCCAGGTACAAATCCCCACTTTGCCATGAATACTTGCTGGCTTATCCTGAGCCACTCTTGCAGTCTCAACCTAACCTACCTCCCAGAACTGTTGTGAGAATAAAATAGAGGAGAGAATAATATAAGTTGTTTTGGTTCTCCATTGGGTAGAAAGGTGGGGCATAAATTATGTAAATAAATAAATAAATTATGAAGTTTGTAATTAATAAAAATTGCAGCTGACAGACTAACAAATCAACCATGAGCTCTATTTTAGTCACTTGCTGTCTCTGAAAATAGAAACTCAAGATCCAGTAATTCAAATCAGCAATCTTTAGCTACACCCTGTGTATTAGCTAGCAAGTGATTAGTAAGACAGAGTTTTCCTTTATTTCAACACCTGTGTGAGTAGTTGTTTAGAACCAGCTTAGGGTACTTCCAGATGTCAGTTTTTCCAGTAATGGTTGCCACAAACCTGAAACCAAAACAGGAATTCATGTGAGTACCTGTCATCATCATAAGGTAGGCAGCAATGGTTGCTGGTTAGGGATGTGCACGAACCAGGAAAATGTGGTTTGGTTCATGATTTGTGGCATGCCCAGTTCACAAACCATGAACAATCAGAAAACCTTTAAGGGCTTAATGTACCAGTTTTGTTCATTAGGTTCGTGATGTGGTAGAATGCCCCACCCCCATGTGCTAGAAACAACCAACTCAGAGGAGATCTCCAACTGACTCTCCTCCACCTGTTTGCCAAGTTTGGTAAGGATTTGATTTACAGGGTCCAGGTGATGGCCCCTCAAAGAAGGTGCCCCAACCCTCCATTGTTTCCAATGGAGGAAAAAAACAGCAACTCCCCCCAAGGGCAATAGAAGCCCAGCAGAACAGAATCAAAGTCCCAAACAATCTCTGAAGAAGAAACTGAAGGTGGAGGGCATTTTTGCAAGCCCCAGTCCCCAAAGTGGAATGATGGCCCCTGGGACTAGGAGAAGTGTTCTGGGACCCAGAAAACTTCTGCTCCTTCCAGGGGCTTTCATTCCACTCTGGGGGCTGTCATTCCAGCTCCAGAACACTTCTGTTACTCCCAGGAGTTGTCATTCCACTCTTTAAGCTGCTATTCCAGCCCTTGAACACTTCTGCTACTCCCAGAAGCTGTGCAAAACACAAGAGACCGCTGGCTGAAATCTCTCCCTTATATATATAAAGCCGTAGTGGGGCCCAACGTTCCAATTCACACCAACAGTGTTTGGAGGCTTGAACTGTCAGTCAGAAGATGCTGGCTGGGTTGCCTGCTGCTTTGTGTAGTACCGCCCACGTCAGCCCTGGCCAGAATGTTCAGCTCAGTCTGCTCTGGGCCTCTGACAGGAGAGGACCATCTGCAGACTGAGCACAGGGACAGGGCTTCTACAGCTGGGCCGCTTCAGCCCACTCTTCTCTGATTGGGCCAGCGTTTCAAGGTCATTTGCATATGGAAGCTGATTGGACTTCATTCCAAACCTCAAACTCCCTCCCCCCTCCGCAAGACAGTTGGCATTGTCAATTGCATATGGGACCTGCTGTATTCTGAGGTAAAATACGTCCTCACTCACATCACTTTCCCTTCAAAAGAAACAAACCCAATAACACAATCATGCCACACCACAAAAAAGACAGATCACACCACAAGCAGAATACCACAAGGCAAAAAATGATAGGAAAAGGTGCCAGCAGTCACCCCATTACTGCCACAGATATGTACCTGAGAGCGCTTCAGAGGATGGTGTGCAGGTCCCAGGTTCATGTTTTAAAAGCTGCCTGGGGGATTATGGACCATTCACACACTTTCAACCTTAACATACCTCATAGGGTAGTTGTGCGGATCATACGGGGGAGAGGAGAATGATGTCAGCTGCTTTGGTTCCCACTGCAGGGAAATACTGCCCTTTCCCTAGGCAGAGGCTGGGGGGAGGATGTAAACCTGAAGACAGGCAGGCAGATAAAGGTAGGCTGATGGTTGCCTGGAAAGGACATAGGGTTGCCAACTCCAGGTTGGAAACTTCCAGGATATTTTAGGGATGAAGCCTGCTGATGGTG